ATTCCTCAGTATCACATACACAGAAAAAGCTGGAAGTGGCACTGTGGTTCAAGTGGTAGAGTGCTAGCCTTGAGCAAAAGAAGTTTAGGGACAGTACCTAGGCCTTGAGTTCAAGTCCAGGACTGAAAAAAACAGAAACAAAAAAAACCTGTCAAGATGCTTAGTCTCCATGGTAGTTCCAAAATAGACATTTTAAATATTTTATAAACAATAGAGAACAAATTTATATTTTTGTTTTTTGGGGGGTCCGGTCATGGGCCTGAACTCTGGGTCTGGGCGCTGTCCCTCAGCTCTTCATCTCAAGGCTAGCGCTCTACCACTTGAGCCACAGTGCCATTTCCAGCTTTTTTCCTTTTTGCTTATGTGGTGCTGGGGAATCGAACCCAGGGCCTCAGTCATGCAAGGCAAGCGCTCTACCACTGAGCCACCTTCCCAGCCCTAGAGAACAAATTTAGAGTGACACAGTGTGCAATTTTATTTAACTTGAGATTGATTCCTACCTTATTAATTCTATAAGATAGAAATTCTACTATAATAATTCAGGTAGATTGAAACAAAAATGTCTTTATCTCTTCTTTTAAATTCAATCTGGGTATCTAAACTCTAATTGTGATCCTTACTGTTCTCCCATATTCTTAACCCTCCTTACATATTAGGTGGGAGTACCTGCTGCTTTTGACATGATGCTGACTGGCAGAAACATTCGTGCAGATAGAGCAAAGAAAATGGGACTGGTTGACCAATTGGTAGAGCCCCTGGGTAAGTGTTAGCAATGTTGTAGTTGAGCCTTATGATGTTACTTATTTTCTTAAAGAGTTTATCTTTTGAATATTGGTTAGAGTGAAACTTGAAACTGCTAAGAAATGAGTCACAATTCTGATATGTGACATTTTCTATGAAATCATTATCATCTAAATCATTATCAACATCATCCTATTTCTGTTTTTATTTATAATCTGGACATCATGAATACATTCAACCTAATTATTATCTTTTATTCATACAGTACCTATATCATAAGTCAGGTGCCAGGAGCTCACATCTGTAATCAAAAAAGAAAAGCAAAAGCAAAAAAAAAACCCCAAAACTCAGAGAGATGTACAAGACGTTATGTCGAAAAACGAACTTTAGGGGCTGGGAAGGTAGCTCAGCGGTAGAGTGCATGCCTTGCAAGCATGAGGCCCTGGGTTCAATTCCTCAGCACCACATAAACAGAAAAAGCCGGAAGT